AACTGGCCCCCATATGGGATGCCAGCATTGCAGGCGGTGGCTTTACCTGCTACACCACAACACCACCCCCTGCCTTCTCTTTCATTTAACAGGGATTTGTTGAACATTAACCAAGATGCTTGGACACCCTTGAAGGTATATGTGTTTTTAAAAAAATGAGTGAGATCTGGTCCCTGCCCAAGTTGAGCTCTCAGGTTAGAGAGGAAGAGAGTTTTGCAAAGTGCTATTGGACAATGATAATAAGTTATTCTATTCTAGGAGTGCACACAAAGGGGCAGTGATGGGAAAAGCGTGGCATTTCTCCTGTCCTTGGGGGAGGTCATGGAATAGCTTCTGCTGAGTGGGTCTTTAATAGCCTCTTTTTTTTTTTTTGACAGGCAGAGTGGACAGTGAGAAAGAGAGAGACAGACAGAAAGGTCTTCCTTTTGCCATTGGTTCACCCTGCAATGGCTGCTGTGGCCGGCGCACTGCGCTGATCTGAAGGCAGGAGCCAGGTGCTTATCCTGGTATCCCATGGGGTGCAGGGCCCAAGGACTTGGGCCATCCTCCACTGCACTCCCGGGCCACAGCAGAGAGCTGGCCTGGAAGAGGGGCAACCGGGACAGAATCCGGCGCCCCGACCAGGACTAGAACCCGGTGTGCTGGTGCCGCAAGGCGGAGGATTAGCCTATTGAGCCATAAGGGTGACAGTTCTAGTCCCAGCTGCTCCCCTTTGATCCAGCTCTCTGCGATGGCCTGGGGAAGCAGTGGAAGATGGCTCAAGTCCTTGGGCCCCTGCAACCATGTAGGAGACCAAGAAGAGGCTCCTGGCTTTGGATCGGCACAGCTCTGGCCGTTGCAGCCATCTGGGGAGTAAACCAGTGGACAGAAGAAGACCTCTCTCTCTGTATCTACTGCTCTCTGTAACTCTTTCAAATAAAAGTAAAATAAATCTTTAAAAAAAAATCCCCTTTATTCAGTTGAGGATCCAAGACCTTTTGTCGCTAGGGTAATCAGTGCTTATGCCCACTAGTGCTAACTGCCAGAAAGGGAGGAAAGGTGGCAGAGTGGGCAGTTAAGCGCGCGCAGGCATTCCCTTCTCCCAGATATTTAACCACCAGGGCGGGAAGCTTTCCTCAAAGAAACGCAGGAGTTCGGATTACAGCGGGAGGGACCCAGCAGCTGTCCACTGCACACTAATCTCTTCAACGGGGAGATCCAGAAATACCCCAGCAGAGCTGGCCTCGTATTTCTAAGCGGGTCAGGGGGTAATCTGGCCCCTGCGATCCCACAGATTGACTTCAGCGTGCTCTGGGGTGCATCCACTTAGTGCCATCCACTCAGGGAAACTTGCAAAACCTCCAGAACAACTCGTTTTGGTGGACTTGTCCGGTTTTAGAGAAGTGGACAGGAGGTGCTCTGTCCCCGGCTCCCACTGACTTTCTGTGGACAGAAAGCTGGAGTGGCTGGTGGCTACCCTCACAAGGTCATGGGCATCTCCAGCTCCACCCTTTGAAGTCCTTATTCAGAGGAAGGCAGCACCCAGAAAACAGCACCCAGCCCTGTGCCTTCGGCTTCTTCTCTGACGACTCCGAGGGCAGGCGGTCTTCCCTTCTTTGGACCAGGGCCTGCACTGTCCCCTCCCCTAAGGGGATAGTCCCCCACCATCGGCAATATAATAGGCCTGTTTCATTTAAAGAGCTTTATTACTGCTCACCATGGGACAACAGGGATTAACCAAATAACATGCTCAGATTTTCCTTCCTGAATTACAAGAAGACATCATTACATTATGGTTAAGAACCAATCACTTGGCTGGTGCTGTGGTTTGGCGGGTAAAGCCGCTGCCTGCAGTGCCGGCATCCCATATGGACACTGACTCAAGTCCTGGCCACTCTATTTCCGATGCAGCTCTCTGCTATGGCCTGGGAAAGCAGTAGAAGATGGCCCAAGTGCTTGGGTCCCTGGACCTGCATGGGAGACTCAGAAGAAGCTCCTGGCCCCTGGCTTCAGATCAGTGTAGCTCCAGCCATTGCAGCCAATTGGAGAGTGAACCAGCAGATGGAGGACCTTTCTCTCTCTTTGCCTCTGCTTCTCTGTAACTCTGCCTTTCAAATAAATAAATAAATCTTACAAACAAAACAAAACAAAAAACCAATCGCTCGGAAGCCAGCGCAATGAATGGTTTTCCTACAATAAGTGTTTTTCTCACATTTGGCTTTTTTTTTTAAAATGCGCTTTTTGTTTATTTCTTTCAATTGCTATTAACAGAAACCAACTCTGGAGAGCTTCTCCATGGAAGCAAAGCACTACCTTAGAAGAGTACTCTCTCCCGAGATGGCTTTGAACTGCTATTGCCTTGTTTGTCCCAGAATCTCCACTGGCATTTTTCTAGAACAGTAGGATCCGCCTAGCCCCGAGACTTTCCATCCAAGATCCAGGTATGGCCACCAGGTCTCTTTTCCCGAGAACTGTTTGCTTGACTTTAATCTCATTTGAAAGGCAGAGAGACAGAGATCTTCCAGCCGTTGGTTCACTTCCTAAATGCCTGCAACAGCTAGGGGTGGGCTGGGCTGGGCGGGAGCTGGGAGCCGGGAGCCGGGAGCCAGGAGCCAGGGACTCAGTCTAGGTCTATCACAGGGGTAGCAGGGGCCCTACTACTTGAACCATCATTTGCTGCTCCCCAGGGTGTGCATTAGCAGGCAGCTGGATGAGCTGCTGAGTAGCTGGGACTGGAGTCAGGCACTCATATAGGCTGCAGGTGTTTCAGACAGTGACTTAAGAGCTGCACCAAATGCCAGCCGCAGAGAATGGTTTTTACGGTCTCATATGCTTCTTCCTTAACATTCTAGACTCTGGGTCATAATAGGTTTCAAGAAGGTGGGATGGGCTGCTAAGGACGTATCCTAAGATGCATTTGTGTGCACTAAGGAACACGATGCAAACACCCGACACATGAGGAGCGGGAGACGGGTCAAGCGCCGGCAAACACACAGCTGCAGCCCCTCAGGCCAGTCTGCAGTCACAGCGCACTCCGCACCCCCATGGAAGCATCAGCAGCATTTCTCATTCGCTCCACGTGGGCCCGTCCTCTTGGCAAACAAGGCAACACATTTGGAGAAGCAGCTCTAGCAGTTGACATTATCCAGGGGGCACAGATCCTTTCATTTCTACAATGAAAGTGAATTCTGTGTGCTCAGCCTCCGACAGTGGCAGAGGGCTGACACTGACTCTCCGTCAGTCCTCCTCGGGGCCGGGAGGTAGTAGCTGGTTATTTTACCAACCCTTCATGTGCTCTGTGCCCAGTTCGCTCCCCCCGCCCCGCCCACCTTGCTTTCCAAAGGCGTGGAGGGCACTGCAGGTGCAGTCAGCTCTCTGTTGTTAAACACGAATACACTGCTTGTAACTTTTAAAGGCCTGAGACAGCAATAGAATTGAGCTAGCGCTGAGTTTTCTTCACAGTCCAAATTACTCAATACAACGAACAATTTGTGTAACAGATACGCATGTCACAATTTAAATAATTCACTGAACTCAATTCATTGAAACTCAAGTGTCTCGGATGTAAAAATTTCTCAAAGTGCAGATTCAAAAGTTGGTTATCCAGAGTTGGCAGCTTCAGGAAACCTTTCTCCTGCCCCACACTGTACACACAGCACAGAAATGTTGACTTTACTAAAGATGCCTGTGCCTGATCTGGGGCTTGAGCCATCTTCCGGAAGGGCTGAGAATCTATTGTCTTGGTGGTGCTAGGGGGGAATGGTCAGCTGGGTCAGGAGTCTGATCACCCAGAAACGGGCTCCCTCTCCTGCTTTCCTCTAGAGGGAAAGCCACCGCAGATTTATTGGCACACCCACATTTCTAAGAATGGGAAGGAGGAAGTGGGGAGCCTCCCCTCCGTTCCTTGGTGACTTGGGCAGGTGCAGGAGCTGTCGGCAGGACACTAGACCAGGGTGCAAGGTGCTTCCCTGGGGAAAACCCAGACCCTCGCCCAAGAAGCAGTCACACCTGCTGGGTTTCTAACTTTACACGGTGCTCGAGGGGCTGGGCGGGGAGGGGGCCAGCAAAGCAACTCTGCCCTTGCCCTCGGGGGCATGTCAACTGGGAACCCCTCCCCCACCCCACGGCCTTAACAGGCTTCTGGAAACGCTGAAACCACCGCGCACAGCCTCGAAGCGGGGGAATTCCCAGTGGGAATTTCTGCAACCCCGGCCAGTTACAGAAAAAGTAAAAATGCCCCGTGCAGCGGGGCATTCTGGGCTTCAGAAAGCAAGTCCGGAAAGCAGGGGAAGCCAGCGAGCTGAAGCTCACCGCTAGCTCCGGTGCACTGGGGTGTGTACGCATCCTCACCAAAAACCGGTGCGCAAGGGTCCCTCAGCCTTTCCGCCCGGGGCTGGGCCGGCCTGGTGATCACACGACCGTGGCTCCGGCTTGGCGCTGTGCGACCCCAGCAGCTCAAGAGGCCTCAAGTTCAAACCTCCCTGTGGCCCGCATTGCCCCTTCGGTTGAGCTCGGTTCCCCCACGATGCTCTTGGCTCGCCTGGCCAAGTCTGGCCCACGGTGGCTATTGTCTGTCCAGTTTTGTTCACATGGACATCCCACGGTTTGGCTCCTGGTGGGAAAAAAGGAAGGAAAGGAGGCGGGGGCTGGTGCGGGGGACAGAGAGAGGCGGTGGTCTCGGCATTGGCCAGCCTCGTTCGTCCCATGAACAGCATCGCCCACCGAGGCGGGGGCGCGCCCTCGCACCTCACCTGCCCGCACCGTCTTCTCCACCGAGACGGGACCCACTGCGCAGCCTCTTCCATCAAGTCAGGTGGCCCCGCGGCGAACCCTCCCCTTCCCCTCCCCCAACCTCGCTCCGGGACCGACGCGGAGGGGCCAAGGCCCGGCCTGGGGGCGCTCCGAGCGCGCCGCGGTAGGGGCTGCGGCCCTGCCCCGCGCTCTCTTCCGTCGCTAGGCTCAGGTGCCAGCTCCTGGTGCTGAGGGTGGGGACCTAGGTGCCCCCCCATCCCGGTCCAGATGCCCCATACCCACCCCTCCCAGGGTCTCCTGGACCAAGCTGCGAGCCACAGCTGGCCCGGGTTCTGCGGACCCCTTCCCTCCGGGCTTGGATCCCTTGGTGGCAGCCGCGAGCCCCCAGTTTGGAGGACACGGTCCTAGGGGGCACCGGATTCTCCGGTCTCAACTCCGCCGCAGTCCGGGTGGAGTCGGCTCCCGGGCAGTGAGGACACTGGCCCCGCGGGTCTCGGGACCTGACGCCCGCGGCGGGGGCGCGCCTCTTGGAGACGCTGGAAGCCACCTCGGCCTTCGGCGTCCCGCGACCCCCGCTCCCGCCCCAGCCCCGGCGGGCGGAGGGAGGGGCGAGCACTCGCCGCCGCCCGCGACCCGGTTCTCGGCGTCTTCGCTGCTCGTTTCGCTTCTCTTGCGCGTGCTTTTTCTGCTCCGGGCGCACCGCTCAGCGCTCGGGCCGGAGAGACGCGCCGCCAACCGGGGCCCGGGCGGGCGTCTCCCCCGCGCGGCCGCCCCGCCCGCCCGCGCACGCACGCACGCCTGGAAAGCCCCCGCGGCTCCTCCCCGCCCCGGGGCTTTTCTCCGGCCGCCCGGGACTTCTTAGCGAGCACAGCCGCCAGGCGCTCGTGTCCGCTGGGCTGCAGCGCGCGGGCCGCGGCTTCTCCCGGGATTCAGGGGGCGAAGAGCGGTGACCCCGGTGCGCGCTCCGCGCCCGCGTCTACCCGCCCGCGCCCCGGCCCCCGGCCCGCGTCCCGGCCGCCAGCATGGTGCTGCTGGCCGGGCCCGGGCCGGAGGGCGGCGGGGCGCGCTGCGTGTCCCCGCAGCCGCTGACCCCACCTCGGGGCACGGAGGCCGACGAGGAGCTAGGGGAGTATGAGGAGTACGAGGACTTCTCCAGCCTGCCGGACACCCGCAGCATCGCCTCGGACGACTCCTTCTACCCTCCGGGAGGCGAGGAGGAGTTCGGCGCCCCGAGCGACGACAGCGTCCAGGAGGGCGTCCCGGAGACGGCGACCATCCTGCGCGCCGCCTGCGCCAACGACGTGGGGCTGCTGCGGGCGCTGGTGCGGCGGGGGCCGTGCGTGGACGAGGTGCAGGAGACGGACCGCAACGGCCGGGTGAGCTGGCGTTCCCTCAGGGCGTGGGGCCCGTCGGCTCCCTGTCTCCCTCCCCGCATCCTGAGCCGCTCCGAGCCCTGCGCCGGCCGGTCGGAGGTTGCGCTGTCTCCGCTCGGAGCGCCTTACCCTCTTGGTCTCGGCGCGCGGCTTGTAGGGAGCCCTAGGTGGCCGCCCGTCCGCGGCCGGTGTGCGGGTCGCAGTTTACTCTGGGCGTGCGCCCGTCCCGCGTCCTCAGAGCATCCTCTTCTCGTTGACACCCGGGGGGAGGGTCCTCTCTCCAAATTCCCCGGGGAGGGGGGCGTGTTGTGGCGCGCTGGCATCCAGGGTTGGTCCCTATTGTGGGGTCTCTCCAACGTGGCCTCTCTAACCGGTACCTCTCCCCGCGCCCCTGGCGGGCGACCCTTCTTTCCGCCCAGCGCCCCTCGCACACTCTCTCGCTGCCCTGTGCCAAGAGCGCGGGTGTGCCGACCCGCCGCGCGCGGATTCGGACCTCCTGGGTTCCTGCGCCGTCACCGCAGCGAACCTGGCCTGGGTGCGAACGGGTGGCGTGCGGGAGACACGGGGGGTGCCGTTAAAGACTCGGAGAAAGCGAGAAGTCTTTAGAAAAGGAAGGGAAAAAGTTGGCTCGAGGAGACTCCAGGAACGGCTTGTGGAACACAAACTACCCAACATGATGCGGGGTAAATCGGCAGTGACCCCCGCGGCCAAGTCCCGCCGAGGTTATGCCGGCGCCCTCCTCTGAGCTTCGTGCTCCGCGGGGCGCGCGGCAGGTGCAGAGTCAGGGCTGAGCTGTTCGTGCTCAGAAACCCACGGCTGACACAAAGTCACGGGCTTTCCCTTGGGGGCCCCGCTGACCCTATGCCTTCGGTTGATCTTGGGGGCAGTGGGCTGGGCTGGGCTGGTGAGGGTCGCTTTCTGCTGTGGGAGCTCCAAGAGACCTTTGAGCTTGGAGGGAGAGGCGGTGCTGGTTGGGAAGCGTCAGTCAAGGAGAGGGAAGGAGGTGAAGGGCGAGCAGGTGGGCTGCAGCTGTGGTCTTTGCACCCTGGCGGGGCAGGCAGTGAGGGCTGCAGCCTCTCCTGGGACTGCTCCTGCAGCCCTGCTTTCGGTTTCACTGAGTGTGAGAGTTTGCAGGCTCTGGTGTTTCTATGGGAACCTTGGCTCCCTTCAGCAGGTGCTGGGAATCCCCCAAAGCTCAGGCACACGTTTCGGGGGGGGGGGTGTCTCTGCCCTGGGCAGCCCAGCCCCGCCCCCACCGTGAGGCACCCTTAGGCTTCCTCAGCTGCGTTACCTCTCCATGAGAAGCAGAAGACACAAGCAAATCCAAGCCGAAGGCTTAGACCTGGCTCCCCAGGGTTCCTGCCCGGGGCTGTGGGCGGGAATGGCGCAGGTGCCCGTGTTCTGCTCTGTGAAGCTGGTGCACCAGCTCCTGGTTGGTTGCTTTCTCACCTGACACCCCCTTGCTCAGAAGAGAGCCGGCAGGTGTGGCTTGGTGTTCTCAGCCTGGCAAACCTTTTGTTTCGCTGCTTTGTGTCTCCGCCTCTCTGCTCCCCATCAGATAACGGTGGGGATGATGGGAGGAGGCCATGAGACCCCGGACTCTGGTTTTCGGGTCAGAAGGAGCATAGCCTTGCGGAGGGGAAGGCAGGCATCTCCCTCCTTCCCAGCGGCCCCTGCGTGGTATTGAGTGCACCTGCTGAAAGGATTCAGTGTGGCCAAGGCCCATTGCAGGAGCCCATGGGACGTGGGGTCTGAGCTTAAGTGTTTTCTGCACGCCTACTGTGCGCTGTTAGGTGCTTTAGGGGACTCGGTGCCTCCACCAGTTCCTGCCTTTGCGAGTCATCACCTTTGACAGGAGGACTGCTGATGCTTCCATGCAGAGACTGGAAGAGGGGACGGGAGAGAGAGGGAGGCTTGGGATGCCAAGTGTGAAAACCCTCCGAGGGGAGACCCAAGGAGGAGGCTGTGGCCAAAGGCCCCAGTGACGGGGCGACATTCCAGCCAGGCAGCTGGAGTTGAGAGGAGGGTGGCATGTGCAGTGTGGCCAAGGTGTGGCTTAGAGAGGAGGGACTGTGGGAACCAAGGCCAGAGAGGCACACCTGGGCCAGGTGAGGAGTGGCCAGCCTGGGCTAGCTGAGTGAGAAGTTGGAAATTGAACAGCAGACTGGTTTCAGCTTGGCAGCTGGTCACACAGGTTCCGTTTTAAGGGCACCTTGGCTGGAAGGCCTTTCTGCCTTCCCTTGGTGAAGCCAGCAGCAGCCACAGCTGGGGAGGAGCAGTCCAGGGTCCAGGGGTCTCTCTCTGAGGTCTGAAATTGTGCCCAGGATGGCCAGCTGAGGGAGCAGAGGCACAGAGAAGGTGTCTGGGGTAAGAGCATTTAGGCAACCGGATCAGCAAGTGCAAAGGCCCTGAGGCAGGGGCCTCCCGTCATATGGGAGCAGTGAGGAAGGCCCTAGAGCTTCAGTGAAGTAGGGGGTGGTTGCATTAGTGACAGAATGACAGCTCACAGGTGCCACCCACAGCCAGCGTTGCCTCTTTGTGGTGGTGTGATGGTTGGGCTGTTTGTGTCTGGTCATTAAGGATGTAGCCAGGTGACAAGGCTTTGTTTAGGATAGCAGGTTCCTGCTGAGACTGGTGGATGTCGGATGTGGCTCAGCTTCTGTTTTCCTACTGGAATATCAATCTTTACGGCTCTGGAAGGATTGCCTGGTTTAATTTGCAACATGTAAATGTTTGGCAAATCACTCGCCGGGACATTGAGAGCATGCCCTCGATGTCTGTTGGATTTGCGGTGTTGTGTCCCCTCTGGCGTGCTGCCGTGAAAGCTGCTGTCCTTAATCTTTCAATCCCACCCCTGGCTTCACCTTTTCTGCCACGGCGGCCCTGGAGACAGAGGGAACAAAGGAGCTGGCTGTCCCGACTTCTGCCCGTGGGTGGTTTGACTCCGAGCCACACTGTACCCCTCTCTTTGTGGACTTCTACTCTTGCAGGTTGAAATCCCAGGGCCTCCCGGTGCACATTTCCAGCCCTTTCCCCACCCCACCCCCCGGGCTCACACCACACACCTGGTCTGGGATGTCTCTCTGCTCTTAGGGGGAGGCGTAAATGTAAATTTCCTGGATTCCAGGTTGTGATCGGGACTTCATGAGGAACTATACTTGAGAAATGTGTTGTTTGCTTGTTTCTTTGATTGCCACTGAGATTTATAAACTTGGGAATCACCTTTCCCCACAATGGAAATTACATGATTGGAATTCATGTCCAGGCTTCTGCCTTTACCAGGCCTCGGTCTCCATGGCCCGGGTGTGCATAGAAACGAGCTAATTAGTATAGACAGCGAACACTCCGGTCCCTGCCAGATCTGGCCTCTCGCCTGTCTGTACCGGGAGAGGTTTGCTTTGCTGTTTGGGGGTATCTCTTAGGGTCCGGGTTGTGCCCACAAATTCTGAAGTGTGGGAAAAGGTGGGAAGTGGGAGTGTGGAGCAGCAGGCAGACTGGGAGCCCACGGGGCAGGGACAGAAAGGAGCCCACTGAAATGGACCAGGGCAGAGCTGGCCAGGCTCGGGGCAGGCAGGTTGATGGATGTCACTTCTTCTTCCTCTTCTGCTGACCATGGTGGGTTCCTGTGGGCCATCAGCAGTCAAGAAGCCCAGGTAGTATTGTTAAAGATTTATTTATTCGAAAGGCAGAGTTAGAAGGACAGACAGACCTTCCATCCACTGGTTCGCTCCTCCAGTGGCTGCAATAGCTGAGGTTGGGTCAGGCTGCAGCCAGGAACCTGAAATTCCATCCAGGTCTCCCATGAGGTTGCAGGGCCCTGGGCACTCAGGTCGTCTTCTGCTGCTTTCCCAGGCACATTAGCAGGGAGCTGGATCTGTGGTGGAGCAGCCAGGACTTGAACTGGCACTCATACGAAATGCTGGTGACACAGGCAGCGGCTTAACCCCCAGAGCCACAGTGCCGTCTGCATGTCTATGTGTTGATGTATCGGTCAGCTATGGCCATGGTGACGCTGTCCAACAACCACCTGTGAAACCTCACAGGTGCCTACAGCCGTGGCCACTTTCCTGAGGCTGGCCCCGCCCTGCTCAGCTCCGGGAGGCTAGATCTGCACGTTCATCGCATTCAGCTGGTGCGTTGGACTCATTGGGGATGTTCTTTAGAAATCCTAGTGCCCAGGCCACATCCCAGCCCACTTGAGTGAGAAGAAGGCCTGGGGACTGTGTGAAGCTGTCCTCTGCGGGGTGACTCAGCTCTGCTCCACGTGCGCTCTCAGCCTCCAGCAGGCTGGCCCGCGCCGGCTCTCCGCGGCAGGGGCAGGGTTCCAGGAGAGCCAGTGGGACCTCGTGAGCTTCATCTTGGCCCGGGTTCAATGTCCTTCTGCTGATGCAAGTCTCAAGGCCAAGCCTGGGCTCGAGGGGGAGGAAATAGACACCCCAGCCCTCAAGAGGCAGGAGCTGTGACGCCCTGGCAGAGCCAGGGGGAGGATGGGGTTGTATGTGCAGTGAGTTGCTACAGTAAGGATGAGGCTGTGGGAGGGACACCCACCGAGCTGTCCCCGTGGGGGTCCCTCAGACGGAACCCCTGGCCCAAACAGCTGCTATACTGGCTGTGTGTGTGTGTGTGTGTGTGTGTAACTGGAGCCCCTCCCCCCACCCGAGTCTGCTCACCCAGCAGACCGAGCCCACACAGGGGTGGCAGAAGAAGGTAGGTGTGTATTGCGCAGTGCTGAGCAAGGGGCCGATGGCTAGTGCTGAATTCCTGGCTCCTTGAGGGGCTTGGGTGAGGTTCCTGTCCGTTGACGCTGGTGCAAATCCCTGGGTGGGATGAGTGCTGTGGCCGCCGCCTCTGGTCGCACATGCCACGTCCCTGGGGAGCTGGCAGAGTAGGCTTCAGTCTGTCAGGCTGCTGCTTCCGGCTCAGGGACTGGGATTCCTGGAGAGAGGAGGCGGAATGTAAGGATGTTATCTGCAGACGTGATGAAAGCTCTCCTGAGTCTTGTG